ACTGTTTCCCTTTCCCAGTTTCCCTGCTTCTACCCCCTCCTTGTCTCCCCCTGGCATATATAATTTTCTGAGATCTTGCAGCATGAATCACACCAGTGGTTTTGCTGGAGACAAATGGTGGAAGGACATTTTCTTGATTTTTGTCAGCTCTCGATAGTATAGTCTTCTATGACATTACCAAATTTTGAAAAAAAAGGAATTGTAAAACAACAAATGACTGCATTTTAGAAAGACTAAAACTGAAGGTTTTTATGTTTTAACTATCAACATAGTTCAAACTTTGTTACAGGAGCATTGATCATGTTTGTCTATGTTTCCTCAATAATATGAATGAAGAATGAAGACTATTTTTTATGGATAAACAACTTCTTTGTTCTGTATAGGCGCATTTCGACATAGATTCTAATGTTGTTGTCAAGCAAGCATTAGAATCTATGTCGAAACGTTGCCTACAAAAGAGTCAGTCCATTAATTACATCCATTTTATTTTTTTCAATAAATTTGTCATGTCAACTTTAAAAATTTCAAACATTAGATTAATACTGAATCCTATTGACAGAAATCAGTTGAAACTTGACAACAAAAAGAACATATGGATCCTTTCAGAATATTTGGATGTATGAGACTCTGTTTTGTCCTTAAGGAAGATATCTGCTTCCAAGTATGGTTTCAAGAAGGTACAAAAATAATTATTTAATTTTTTTACCAATTTTCAAAAAATGAATAAATTGGCTGATCTAAGGACAGTAAAATAGTGTTCCTAACAATGGCTTGACATGAAATCTCTCCCGCATGTGTTGATGGGAAAGGACACAAGGAAGCAAAATCAACTGAATCGGAAACATCTTAACTTGTGACTTGATGCATCTCTGATTTCAAATGACAGCTATCAAAATGTGGCACAGGCAAACGGGTCAACAATGAACTTCCCTGTATTCACTATGGAAAATGTATACCCTCCCACTTCACAGCTCAATGGTTCAGAAACACACAATACATGAAATGATGCCTCTCTTTTTTTACTTCACACAGATAATTAAATGGAGCTATATAGCAATGGAAATATTTTTCTTCACATGCCCTAAACTCATGTTGCTTGACAGATTAGACAGAATAATTTAAGTAGATAAACATGTAATTTGGTAATTGGAGGAATTCAGTTAGATATTAGTTAAATATGACAGGAAATGCTGTACAGTGGATGATAGCTTTCCAGTGAAACTGCAGTGACTGGTGTTCAACCCAAGCGTTTCACATGTGATGAGATCGATGGAGATCTCTTCATCTCCCCACTGGCACTTGGTGTAATTTGTTAATTGATCTTCTCATGGGATTGTGGATATAGAATAGCTGGTGAGACCAGAATTATAGAGCGTGTTTGATTTTCTGGCTGGCCTATTAATAGGATTATCTGTTTCTCTTATCATCCACGTGTAATTTCTCCTTATCATGATTATAGATACATCCTCGTCTTAGACTTTCTTTATATCTGCAGTATCACAGTATGTTTTGTTGACAGATTCCACTATGTTGATAATCAGTCTCCTGTGAGCAGCGGAGGCATGGTTAAGAAGTATTTGTAATAGTATAGCTGTATGACTAGACTCTATGATATCTTTGTGTACTGCTTAGAGGGCATGGGTAGATGTGATCTTTGTGTCATCACACTCCAGTATCACATTGTATCTATGATGTGACCTTTGTGTCATCAGACTCCCAGTATCACATTGTATCTATGATGTGACCATTGTGTCATCACTCTTCAGTATCACATTGTATCTATGATGTGGCCTTTGTTTCATCAGACTCCCAGTATCACATTGTATCTATGATGTGACCTTTGTTTCATCAGACTCCCAGTATCACATTGTATCTATGATGTGACCTTTGTTTCATGAGACTCCCAGTATCACATTGTATCTATGATGTGACCTTTGTTTCATCAGACTCCCAGTATCACATTGTATCTATGATGTGACCATTGTCATCACACTCCAGTATCACATTGTATCTATGATGTGACCTTTGTTTCATCAGACTCCCAGTATCACATTGTATCTATGATGTGACCTTTGTTTCATCAGACTCCCAGTATCACATTGTATCTATGATGTGACCATTGTCATCACACTCCAGTATCACATTGTATCTATGATGTGACCTTTGTGTCATCAGACTCCCAGTATCACATTGTATCTTATGATGTGACCATTGTGTCATCACTCTTCAGTATCACAATATGTCTGCTGAAATAATCAAGTATGACATGATCAGCCATCCTAGTAATATTTGTCTTCTCAAATACTACTTTCCCATGGACACCCTTACAAAAGCACGTACCATGTTCTCAACCTGTTTATTTAACAATCTAGGCAACTGCTTTGGGTTCAGCCGAGGAAGTTGTTGCTGAGGCGTGACAGGCAATGTTATACTATACATGAACAAACACACAACGTCTTGTGTACTAACCAAGCACATTACAAAGGCTGTTTCTGTTGTGGCAACATATCTATATACAGTCATATCAACACGTCTTTGTGTACACCACAACTAGCTACACATACTGACATTTGTATAGCAGTCGCCCACTGAAGTTATTGTTGAAAAGAAAAGCCAGCCATTTGTCCAAGTGACTATTAAGTTCCCTGTTAGTTGTGCGATTTTAATATATTTGTGGTTGTCAAATAAGTCAGGAAAATTTGTTTTCCTTGAATAAAATTGATAATAATATGAATTGTTTTGGAAGGGTAGATTTTAAACATTATATTGAATATTCTTAGCACATTAGACATTTTGGTATGTCATGGTGCTTTATGTAGTCAGTATCCTTGAATATGTTTGCATTACAAATGTTATTGCTTATCATCATTACCAGCCAAATCAGAAAATTGAAGTGACCTTGCATATCCGTTCAATACTTTGCTGCTTTGCATGTCAGATATGTAATTTCAGAGATGGAGTGATATGTGGCCCTTTGTATTGCTCTTCAGAAACTTCACTTTGTAAAATGTCAAGCCTTATTACCAGTACATTGTCCTTGTCCGTAGTGTAAATCAAACACGCCCGTATTAAGCAGTTAAATATCTGACAAATTTTCTTATGAAATAAAACTAGAATAGTGATTTAATACCATTCAGGCATAATGACATTCTTTGAACCTGTATGGAGAAAACTATTATGGCTATTACTGTTAAAAATATAATAAAAGTAGCCGAATTATTTTTGGAAGTCAACAAATGTGCATTGTTATCATAAATATTATAAATATTATAATTTTTTACCTTGTTTTAACCTTCAGGTTTTAAATCTCTTATAATGCACATTTGTCTTTGTAGCTGTTTTCTGTGAAATTGCCAGAAGCTTAACTTTATATTGTCTGTTATTTTTATCATCATGATTTATGCTGAAAGTATTTCAATATCAATGTCGACATCAGCATTGTTTAAGTGGCTTTGTTTGTTGACATAATGAACACTTATAAACATATCCACGCAAATTGTAGTGCCATTGCACTCGTTTCATTAGAGCATGAAATGCTTTGTATAAGCAATCTGGTAGCACACATTCCTGAAAGCTTTCATGTGCCAGCTTTTCTGTGGAAGATGTGTACCATCATAGATTGCTGATACTATTGTGCACAAGCATCTATCCTTGTTTTCTCCTCACTTCAATTGTCTCTCTTCTTTCTCATCTACCGTTCCCTCTTCCTCCAATGCCATCTTCCTTCTTCTCCTGCCATTTCCCACGTCCACTTCTCCTTAATCCCTTCCTTGTCCTACATCGCCTCCAAAGCCTCCTCCTTATTTTCCTCCTCCTGTGCCACCCGTGAAGATCTAGGTTAGAATTGATCTTCTGTAACCCACTATAATGCTTGTCGTAAGAGGCGACTAATGGGATCGGGTGGTCAGGGTAGCTGACTTAGTTATTTACAGACCGGATATGGCTGGAATATTGCTGAGTGCGGCATAAAACTAACTCTCACTCACTCACACTTCCAGTGCCTCCGCACTCCCCATCCTTCTCAATCCCTTCCTTGTCATACACAGCCTCTAATGCCTCCTCCTCCTCCTGCCCCTCCCAACAGCCCTTCTCCCTAGATCCCTTCCTTGTCATACACAGCCTCTAATGCCTTCTCCTCCTCCTGCCCCTCCCAACAGCCCTTCTCCCTAGATCCCTTTCTTGTCATACACAGCCTCTAATGCCTCCTCCTCCTCCTGCCCCTCCCCACTTCCCCTCTCCCTAGATCCCTTCCTTGTCATACACAGCCTCTAATGCCTCCTCCTCCTCCTCCTGCCCCTCCCCACTTCCCCTCTCCCTAGATCCCTTCCTTGTCATACACAGCCTCTAATGCCTCCTCCTCCTCCTGCCCCTCTCCACTTCCCCTCTCCCTAGATCCCTTCCTTGTCATACACAGCCTCTAATGCCTCCTCCTCCTCCTCCTCCTCCTGCCCCTCCCCACTTCCCTCTCTCTAGATCCCTTCCTTGTCATACACAGCCTCTAATGCCTCCTCCTCCTCCTGCTCCTCCCCACTTCCCCTCTCCCTAGATCCCTTCCTTGTCATACACAGCCTCTAATGCCTCCTCCTCCTCCTCTTCCTCCTGCCCCTCCCCACTTCCCCTCTCCCTAGATCCCTTCCTTGTCATACACAGCCTCTAATGCCTCCTCCTCCTCCTGCCCCTCTCCACTTCCCCTCTCCCTAGATCCCTTCCTTGTCATACACAGCCTCTAATGCCTCCTCCTCCTCCTCCTCCTGCCCCTCCCCACTTCCCCTCTCCCTAGATCCCTTCCTTGTCTTACGACACCCCCCCAACACCACCCCCTTCCTCCTCTCCACCATCAACCTCTCCTGCACCTGCTCCTCCACCATCCCTTCTACCTCTTCTTACTCCCCAACTTCACATCCACCATCTCTTCCTCATCCTCATAGCATGTTTGGAGCAACAGCAACCCTGCCCAGTTGTGCTACAGCTGTTAACTGCATGTTTTATTCCTTTGATAGGGCTTTCAGTGGACTTCTCCTATGGCTTGGGAGGTGTGTAATCTTTATAGCAGGATTTCACAAAATCAAGCTCAGAGGGAACCCTGCTAGTGCCCTGGACGCACCTGTCCTTTGTGCTGCACCCCACTCAACATTTTTTGATACCATTGTATGTTTTATGGGGCAAGAACTAAAAAGTCCAGTCGCAAAGATAGAAAGCAGCTCAATACCCTTTTTGGGAAGTAGGTATTAACAGGCTCAGCATTTTCCCAATCATTTTCCCCGTTATTAGCCATCAATGATGAAAGGCCCTCAATATTTATCTCAAAATTCAAAGTGATTTCTCTGAGTTTCAGGTCTGATTTTTGGGACTTCTTTGCTTCATGTAGGAGACATGATTGAACAATGATTATTTTGCTAAACCAATGGGAAAACTGATGAGGGAAAATGCTGCAGCCTTTCCACTGTTGTTTATTTATGTGCTTGAATGTTGCAGTAGTTGCTCGTGTGTCACTGTGTACAGTGTGTTTGCTTCTCCATGTGTGCTGTAGAAACTGCCTGAATGGATTTACATTTTCACCTTTGACTCATTGATTGCAGTCAGAAGATGTATGGTGACTGAAATCAATGATTTCTCAGTACAACACACTTAAAGAACATCTGTTACCGTTCCCAAGCTACAATCTGCAGGCATGTACCAACATACATATGGGGAAAGAAATGGTGTCAGTAATTTAAGAGCAGAGTCGATGACAAGTAAACCATGGTGTCAGTTGTAAGGCATTGGCCTGAACAGGGATGTCATCAGTGGCATTGCTTCATTGTTTTTTAAATTAAATATTTGGTTTTTCAAGCTGGTGTGTCTGTTGACACATTTTGGTTATGATAATCTAGGAAAATAGAGTGATTCTAAAATCAAAATCCCTCAAAATTACCCAATTCTTTTTTTCCTATTTTCCCCTCCTGCACATCATTCGTTTAGAAATAAGACTTTAAACAAAATGTCTATTTTTAGTACACAAGCCGTTGTAAAAATGTCATCATGTTAACATGGCTGAGAAGAACCAATTCTTAAGTGTCCTTGCCAAGTTTTCAGTTCACAAAAGTGATATTAGTGACAAGAGTGTGTGAGAAAATGTGATAAATCCATCAGGTTAGTATTTACGCGCCGTGGTATTGTGTTACATGTTGTCTTGCTGCTGAACTTCCTTGATTGTGCCATTCTTCAGTGTTCATGTTACTTCTTCATTTTCTTGACATCCATTATGTTACATAAGGTCCCAGCTTGAGCAATTGCCAAAAATTTTATCCTTGTCTACACATCAACATGGATGAGGACTACTTACACCAGTACTTAGCTTGCATTGTTGCATTATTGGTTATGAAGTTTTATGATAAACACTGATGAAAGATAGTGGAGAAAAGTCTGAACACTGAAGTATGTCAGTTCCTACTAACCAGTCAGCTTCACTGGAAAGAATCATAGTTCAATGGGGTCACTTACATATGACCTCAATGTTAGGCTTAAATAGTTGTAATAGCATTGCTGAAGGGCCATGGAGGTCAACCAAACTAGACAACAATCTGTGCTGAAACCTTGCGTGTCTCAACCAGACTTGTCACTGACTGGAAATGTAGTGGCTCAAGTCACAAACTTTTAAACCTGCGAAAGTTGTGGTCCAAGCATATATCAGTTGTACTTACTGAATTTTACTAGTCTTGGGTGACGAGACTAACTGTAATTGCAAACCTTCTGACAGAACGGTGTCATATTTGACTTAATTAATAAGAATGTTGTGAAGATATTAGATAAATATAAAAATATTCTAAACTGCTGAAGTATTGTGCAAAATGTGCATACATTGATATTAGTTCCTTTACAACGAGAAATGGGCGACCTAAATGACACAAACAAAAAGCATCCATATGTCAAATAAATTTGTCCGAATTCAGTATGGTGTTAATGTGACGGTAAAGACTGTCTGAGACAGGAGTTGTTTACTTGAAAGTATAGCAGAGATCTCTTTAACAAACTCAGCCCATTGGCTTAAGTGGACCTGGTGGACTTCATGATACATGGGAGACTCATGGCTTGCTGACTCATATTAACTTTCTGCAGTGCTTCCTGTGTTGAAGTTGACGAATGTGTGAAATGTTGATGAGTGGTTGTGTTCCTTAGTTTGCATTCCAGTTCAATTATACATAACAATATATCCGAGATAATGAATAAGTTTTCATGTTGCAACATTAACTGATTACTGATGATGTTTGTAATGTCATATCATCACAAACAATGAAGGTCTAGACAGAAATCCTGGTGTATATTATGCTTACCCGCATTAGTCTTTTTTGCTTCTTTTTTTTCATAACCAAGACATATCACCGTGTTTATTATCCAAATATGAATTTTGAATGCCGATAATTTGTGAAACAATTCTAATTGTCTTGTGCATCGTCATAAATTAATCTTGTTCTATGCTATTTTGTCAGCATTAATTCAGTTCACGCAGCCTGTATTTGTGCGACGAGAGGATCCCAACTCTCGCGCTGTTACCATCCAGCAGATACGGGAGAGGGGACAGTCTGGGGGAGCATGGCCTCAAGTCCTTATCTTTCCAGAGGGCACCTGTACCAACAGGTCGTGTCTCATCACATTTAAACCAGGTGAGAACAGACTGACGAAACAAACTTATATGACAGACTGGTATTGGGGTTTTTTTAATTGGGTGCCCTGATTTAGTTTACATCTGTATATTGGAGTTCAATTTAAGAAGCAACAACATCGAAAAGGTGGTCAGGGTCGGATGTCAGCCCAGTCTTTTCACTTTACTGTGGTTGAAGTTGGACTAGAAGACTAGATAATAAGCCATGATGATGACAATCTTTACATTCCAGCAATGGGTCAACTGACTATTCATACACTAAAAATAATGTAGATTCTATACGTCTTGTGCACATGTTACAAGTATCAATTACCAACATGGCAGAATACTGGCAAGCCATTTGTCTTGTGGTTAGTTTTGGAGGACAAGCAGTTTATATGCCCAGGGGACTTTCTTATGTTTAAATTTTGCTTTCTTTGTCATTATATATATGTCCTTGTTATACAGGGCAGGAGTATCGGGCAAGTTTTATAATATTATTGCACCAATGTATTCCAATCTTTCAGCCTGTGTCAGAACTAAACATGGCCTTTCATCTTGTTTTAAATGTTCTGTAGGTACAAGGCAGGGATGTATTCTAAGCCCACAGATGTTTCTTATATTTATTGATAATCTGTATAAGAAATTAGAACTGGAGGGAGGTCAAGGAATCTTCATTAATCAATTATTTTCGTATCTATGTGCACTTGTTTGCAGATGATATTTCAGCACTATCTGGCACGTGTAATTTGCTTTAAAAGAAATTAAATGTTTTAGAAAGCTTTTGTAATAGCACAGGTATGAAAGTTAACTTAAACAAAACCAAGATTATTGTCTTTAGAAATGGGTGCCTCTTCATCATTATGAGAAATGGTTCTATAATGGTTCCTCTGTTGAAACGGTTTCTTTTTATAGGTATTTAGGATTAGTTTTCACACCCAAGCTTGTCTGAAGTAAAGCCCAGACATGTCTTGCATCTCAGGCCTCTAAAGCTATAATGTCTTTAAATGGTTTCCAGAGGAAAATTGGTAACATAGTTTGCACTGATCTACTTAATATTTTTTATTCAACGGTTGTGCCTATTCTTTGTTATGGCTCTGAAATCTGGGGAACATGTCACTCCAAAATAATAGAGGCTGTGCAAATTAAATTTTGTAAACAATACTTAAGGGTGAAAGAAACCACATTAAATGGTATGGTTCTTGGAAAGTGTGGCAGACTCCCATTACAGCATTTGTACAAGTCAAGAGTGATCAAATTCTGGTTGAGACTTTTACATATGCCACAAAATAGACTCCCACATCAATGTTATTTAATGTTAAGATCACTAGATAGCTTAGGCTATAATACCTGGGGAACAAAAGTTAGGCACATCCTGTTTCAACATGGATTTGGTTATGCTTGGCTAAGCCAAGAAATCGGAAATGTGGAATATTTTGTGTATCTATTCAAGCTAAGGCTAGGTGATAACTTAAAACAGTCTTGGTTCTCATCAGTTAGTGAATCTCCTAAATGTATATTTTACAAGGAGTTCAAAACTTTGTGAAATGTTAAAAGATATTTGTGTTGTGATATCCCTATGCATTTAAGAATTGCTATATCAAGGTTTAGATGCAGTAATTTTAATACGGCTGTTGAATGTGGCAGGTATAATGGAATTGAATAAAACGAAACGCCAGCATTATATAGGAAATGAATATCATGTACTATTTATTTATAATGCCTATGATATACTTAGAACGAAATATATAACAAAGCTCACTAAAGAACCACTTACTCATTACTCTGTCGTAAATCTTTTGCAAAGCATATACAATGTTGGCCTATACTTATACCATGTACAGAAATTGATAAACTCCAGGACATAGAGCTGCAAAGTTGTTTTGCGCACCCACTAAACACAATGTCAGTCTGATTGTAATATAGCGAGGGCCTTTTACTGAGTAAATATATCACATTATGCACATCCTTAAGTGGTGTAGTTTGTGGGTTTTGTATCACAGGCTAAGCTTAGATTAATATTTCAAGAGCTTGCAATGTCACTAGATCATGTCTAAACATATATGATTACTCATAGGATTTCACCTGTATAGTAGCATAGCATCATTGTCACAATTTGTATGTTTCACCTGAATCTTATGCTGCATCCACCAAAGCCAGGTTCATGTCAGTGTGGCAGGGGTGTCCTGTTTGACTGAAGCTTGTGAAAATTCATAAAGCTGATGATAGTTATTCACTATAAATCTGTCTGTCTCATTGTTTCATCATCTACATAAACCTTGTGTGAGTCAGTTGGATGGCTTGTACAGATATCATTATTTTATGTGGCGTCAATTGTCACATCTCAAGTGGTTCTTGGGGATTTGGGGTTGGAACTGGTCCCTATCAACCTGTGCTATTGTCAGGTGACTAAATTCATCTGACCTTGTTTATAGCCTGTCATCAGTTCCAGATGGAATGGATTGTTGTTCATTGATTTGAATAACTAGATATTGCTTGCACAGTGTTCCTCAAAATGATGTTGCACCGGGCTAAACCAGGATGCATTCCTAATTGTACATAGCCATCAGTCCAGGGTGGAAATAACTGTTTTAAAATGGATAGTGTACTCATGGTAGCTACATCCTTATAGTGGTACATGTAAAGTCACTTGCCCTGATATTTTTCCAGTATACCAACCGTCTTTTCTTGCTGATTTTTGTAAAACAAATAAACAACATAATTAACATTGGAAAGTCAACTGGACTTTTTCCGGTACCAGTGTGACTTGTAGTTACGAAAGTTTTACAGATATTTGCTTGCTTAAACTACATAAATTGTAGAAACACTGGAAAATACAGGGACGTTCCGACAGTACAATGGGTTATTTCTCAAAATGATGTAGCACCCTAAACCAGGATGCATTCCTAATTGTACATAGCCATACCTTGGCTTGTTTGGTTCAGATTTGATTATGTTGCTAAATATATAGGTGAACGCCAAAACCAAACATTACAAATTCCACTGGTCATACATTATGTTAGCTGAGAGTCAGTGGTTGGGGACCAGAAGCCTCCTGATGTCAAATTAAAATGTTTCTTTGGAAATATGTCATTGTAAGTTGTAAAACTGAAACGATAATTTAACATTTATCAATAAGCTGGGTACCGTATACAGGATTCTGAACAGTACTTGAATACCACTGAATAATATCTTTGCAGGACTAGTTGATCCGATTTCATGAGGTATCTAGACACAAGTTGATAAAACCAACACAAAGAATTTTAAGCCTGTATTCAAGACAAACACATGTTGATGTTGTTTGTGAACTTTGAGGGCTTATTAGTAATAAATTTCAACTGGCAAAGGGTATTGTTTAAAATTTGACAAAACAAATATTGTCATTGTTGAGGCTGTTTAAGGTAAGCAACATTATACTTCAAGTAGAGCATCATTGCCAATTTATTTTGTAAATTATAACAGAACACACAATATGATTTTGTTGTGGAGGTTTATGCACATTTTTCATGTCATGTCTCAGAAAAATGCTTTACTATTCAAATTTATTCAAATATGAGAATGATTTTAATAAGATAGGTCTGTTTTTCGGCTAACATGGCTGAAGAGCAGTAAAGTCCCCTTAAATCCATTTACTTTAATTGGCTTAATTTAAATACACAATGTAACTGGATATTGATTGCATTGTTGCACTGGGCAAAACCAGGATGCTCTCTTACATTACCTAGCCAGCTGGTCAGCTTTCACGAACATAATGGTGTATGGCTATAAAACATATCTGCACATTCTATTAATGAAGCATCCACACTTCAATGATTTCAGGGGCTGTGGGGTAGCCTAATGGTTAAAGCGTTGGCTCATCACGCCGAAGACCCGGGTTCGAATCCCCACATGAGCACAATGTGTGAAGCCCATTTCTGGTGTCCCCTGCCGTGATGTTGCTGGAATATTGCTAAAAGCGGTGTAAAACTAAACTCAGTCAGTCAGTCAGTCAATGATTTCAAGCCCAAGGAATATTGACAAATTCCATATAGCTCTTTTGATAGTTACTCTGACAGTAAATGCAGTGTATAAAGTTTAAAGGTCAATGTTGAGCAGAAAACTTTGCAATGTAAGTCATTCGCAGATTTGTGAAATGTTAATAGGTTGCAAAAATACTAATAGGTTGCATTTTTCAATATCAGGTTGCTCTAGTTCTTGTGTAATATGGACAAGTTATGTTTGCTTGAATTCAAAGAAAAAGGCCTAATAAGTAGGAGTTTGTTGTTATGTCAATTCTTGTATGTACAAAACTTACTGAAAGTGTTAAACCCAAATTAGACAATAAATATTGAGAATGACAACTCTTGTTTCACAAATTGAATTTGATGAAATCACAACCCTTTTTAAACTTATGGCTCAAGAAACTACTGGAGTTGGCCAAGAAATCCTGATTGGCACATTGGTTGGAGTTCTTCCTTACTTTTGCTGCAAGTACATGTACGTTAAGATACAAAGATGACAGAATATACTGAAAATAGCAACACAAAACACAATGTGTTGCCAAGTTACGACTTTTTTCCTTTGTTAATTGTAAGTTAATTTGGAACTTGTTTCATTTGGAAGTTTTCAAATGGCAGTTTTCTCAACCCACCCATATTAAACACATTTATTTAGGAATAAATGGGAAAAAAAACTTATTTAAGTCTGCTAGAAAATTCGGGATAGATCATTCAAAAAAATTTAATAACAGTTCACAGAAGGAAGCCCTGAAACATTTCTTAGAATACAGTCTTGTACTTGTAAAATGCTACACATTTATTACCTTTTCTAATCATTAACCCTCATCTGGTGTGTGAGGATTAACTCTCAAAATATGGTCAACCTCCTCTATAGAATGAGCTGTTTTTTGTTTTAAACATGTATTGTTTAATATTTTAGGTGCTTTCTACCCTGGTGTGCCAGTTCAGCCTGTATGTTTACGCTACTTCAACAAACTGGTAAGTGTGTTGGTTTATGAACCTCTCAGCAAACACTGTTATTTGTTCAGATTGTTTGTGTTAGGTGATGGGACAGAGCCCCAACGTCACCACGGCTAGTGACCAGACCTACCTCCTGAGATAGTAAGGCAGCTCACTCAACTATGTTTGTTCAGTTACACCTGCTATGGTACAGGAGAATATTTTGTGTGAACTAACAGTGAATAATTAGACTGCCAATAAATAAATAATTGGTGTACCATTGCTAAATATCTAGTATTTTTCTATGTATGAAGTCTGATGAAATTGATATAATAATCAATCCTTTTTCTTGAAACAAGTGTTATCATACCTTATTCTAAAAATATTTCTCTTTTTCTGCAGGATACATTTACGTGGACATGGGATGGTCCAAAAGCGTGAGTACTTGAGTTTGCTTGATTTTTATTATTTTTTAAATGAAGTTATTCTTTTAGTTTTAGTTTACCCTGACATCAGTTTGACCTTGTCACCTGTGTCACGTTCACCTAACCATCTGTAAGCATTCAAAATTGAACAACCCTTCACTAAGAAACTGTGAGAGGCAAGGTCACAGTTGAGTTGCTTCCCTTTGCTTTGCCAGAAACCTAAGATCATTATGTTGGGACTAAATTTGCCCAGGATATGTTATTAGGTTAGTCGACACTATACTGGTGTTTGTTGGTTGTACCAAAATATCCTAGAGAACATTGGTGTTTTATCCCATATAAATCAGTGAGTGAAAGTTGCTTTATGCCGAATCAGCAATTTTGCTGCTATTCGCAGCAAACATCAATCAGACACACTCTGATACAGCTGAATACTGTTCATTAACCCAAGGAACTGGTTTGTTAAGATATAGCTGAAATATGTTTGATGTCATTCATATGTTCTCTTGCTCTTGAATGTTTCAGATTTGCTTGTCTATGGTATACATTCTGTCAGTTTAACAACCAGGTAGAAATAGAGGTTAGTATCTAAGATGCACCATGATACTTGTAATAGCATCATTGTTCATTCAAGATATGTTTGTGCTTAGCTATACGAGAATCTGAAAAATCTGTCAAATTGGCTAATCATATTTTGATCTGATATTCTTTTTCACTGATGTGATTTATTGATTTAGCTTTTAATGAATTCCATGCATTCTTAGAACACACATTTTCCACAATTATGTCGTAAATGTTCCCTCTGGATTATGGTTGCCAGTTTCCTGTGGGTACCACAGATACATACAGAATGAAAGAGATTTAAATTTTTCTAAGTCATAGCTTTCCCTAGTGGTATGCCAAAATAGAGACATGGTTATCTCCCTTAGTTGTGACGTCACAGCATTGTTCTTTGAACACCCTCATAATTTTTTCTGTATGGTCACGCACAGACGTGTTCAGAGTGGAAGAGAATTTTTTCCGAGTTAATCTTCAGATTATTCAAGAATACGGTCAGTAGAGATCCCATTTTGTCACTATAGACAATCACATTGTTACTTCATTACGTTTTGTAACAAAATTTGACATTTTGTGTAGCTTGTTTCCCGCCATTGGACTTGATCATGTTGCAGAATAAATGTGTTCAATACCAGAAGTGTTATGGCCGAATTAGATCCACATTCCCTATGTGCATCATGTTTTGCAGGAGCCTTTGTACAGTAAAAATCGCAGTTTTCTATGCTCGGCCTTATCTAAGGAGGAATGGGTTAACATGGATAACGCCCGTAATCAGGCTAGGGAAAGGGAATTGTTGCACACGCTTCAGATTCCTCTAGAGTAAGAAATCTACCTCTCAGCCTCTTAGTTCGGCGGTTAAATCGGATTCTAGTCCAAATTAGAAGTCTAGATTAAGCTCATCTTCTAGCCAGGTTGATTTGTCAGCTATTACGGCCCTATTGTCTTCTTCAATTAGGAAATTCTATCATCCATGCAGCAGTCATTCCATGATTTAGAATTACGTAACAAGGGAAAAATCTCGGATTTACAGAGCCAAATAGATTTCTCGGGCTCCCTTACACAAATGCTCTTTACTTATATGACTCATGCGACGACGGGCACGTTCAGTCCCAAGGTCAGGAGTTATTCCCCGTAGGGCGGCGCGATGCTCTGCTCGGTTCGGTCCAGCATCACCCACGTCCTGAAGCTGGGTCACCGATCCCCTCGGTGGGAGACGCTAAGGCTTTGAGCGGGAGGGACTATGTCAACAGCTTTGACATTAGGCAGGATTTGCCCATGGCGCAAACTGCACAGGCCCTGCCTTCAGTCCCTGGCTTTCAACCGGCAACGGTAACAACCCAATAAAAAAAATGCCCTCTCGGCCAGCAACCCTTTCCCGCACAGGCGGATTGGCGCCGCACAAGCATAACGGGGCTGATCCCGTGGATCGCTTGCTGCCCACACGTAGGGGATCGTCCCAGTCAACCGTAACGGCTACAGGAGACACGGGCTTCACGGCTGTCCACCAGCTGACGTCTACCGTAGCCACGGGTAGTCCGGCTGATCAGTGGGATGGTGTAACGGGATATGTCTTGGATCAAGTTGACACAGACGGGTGGGACTATGTCAACAAGGTCGACCGACGGCAGCTTATGCCCATCCATGGCACAAGCTGTACGGGGTCTTGCCGTCAGTCCCGGGGGTTCAACTGCTTGCGTTTGACCCTACTAGTACTATCAGTAAGCCTGCTTGGCCGTCAATCGTTATTTTCCGCATGGTGGGGTCAGAGCCGCAAAAGCCCAACAGCATTGACCGTGGTCGGGTGCTGCCCACGGGGTCGTCAGCAGTAGTAACTCGTATGACGCTGGCAAGAGCCATAGTTTAGAGTCTATACCCGTAGGCAGCTGAGATGTTCTATAGTCTATACATGGGTAGTCGAGTACCAACCACGGAGTGAGTGAGTTAAGTTTTCCGCTTCACTCGGCAATATTCCAGCTTTATGGCGGCGCTCTTTAATTAATCGAGCCAGGACCAGACAATCAAGTGTTCACTAACATGAGCATCGTTCTACGCAATTGGGATACGATGTCTTTTTGTGTTAACCAGTCAGCGAGCCTGACCACCTGATCCTATTAGTCGCATTTTTTTATGTCAAGCAGAAGGAACTCCCAAGATATCTCTTCCCCATTCATCACTTGTGAAACGGCTTTTGAATTTTCACTTTTCAACTCTCGGTAGATATCTACCTTCAGGGGGATAGATATAAGGGAGTCAGCAGTGTTTGTCATGACGCAGATAATCTGCATATTTGACAGATAATTATCTCAAATAGGCAGTGAATTTAGAAGCTTGCGTCATTGTTGACGAACTGCTTCTAGGCCCTTAGTTCAGATAATCTAAACTTGCTTTCTATGCGATGACTGTTTTTTTGACTGCTTGGTGCTGCTTAAATACCTGACCTGTCTTGCCTTGTTCTTGTTTTTTGTCGTTATTAAACAGTCAACATTTGATGTCTTGATGAAGTCCAAACTGAGCTTGACTCACAAACATGTCCATGACTCCTTCTCATGACACTAGAGAGTCATTATGACTCCTAAATTTTTATGCCTACGACAGACACTGAGTCAGGGAGTTGTCGATCTCGTCTCCACTCAACAATCTGTTCCACTTGGCATGGTACAAAAGGCTATAAATTTTCATCATCTGAGCCTATTACTTCGTCTACTACTTCGGCTATTCACCAGTTCCATTGGAATCTACCTACGGCCACGGCTTCCAATTAACCCGGTACAGTTGTTTAAGTACTCTGTATCACATACAAGAGTCTAAATGGCATGGCACCAGAATATTTAATTATAAACATGTGCGGATGCCCTGGAAGTATATTAAATGACCATTGAAAATGAAGTGTGCACCCCTCCTTTCCTCAATAGTGTGCACCCCCTCTTTCTCAAAAAGCTGTATCCGATCCTGATATAAGTGATTTGCTAACCTCCTTCTACCACCCAGACAACTGCGACCTGGAAGCAATTCTTTTTGAATACTCCATCTTACAGACTGCCATGGCCTGTTATTGAGAGTGTTCTTTCAGTGGTTGCGCGCCATCACTGTGGAATAGACTGTCCCTCGCTATAAACTGTTTCTATATTTTCAAACGTAAGCAGTTCAAATCACATCTTTAAACGCATCTCTTTCACTGTACTATTAACTCAAACAACACTTTGTAGTGCTTAGGCATACACTTTGTGGTTGGATTTCCCGATATATAACTTTTCAGTATTACATGTATTATTAATACAATTACTGAATTAGAAACACCATGGCTATATTCGAGGCCACGGTTCAAAATCAATCCGCTGACCCACGAGGCGGCGGCAGCAGTTCAGGTAGCACATGAGTCGGGCCAGGTGAATGAACCAGATAACAGGGTGACACGTGTTTTTTCTTCTCGGATTGCACAGTCAGCTGAGAGCTCCTCGGGAGGATGGAAACAAGACTGATATCGGTACACTTACAGAATACCGGATACCTAATTATATACATTCTATTGTGCGCGTGAGGCTCCTATATATAGAAGAAACAGAGAGCGCATGCCTGCGAGCGATCCAATCAAAATACGAATTTAAGGTAAAAAATAAGGTTAAAATGGAATTCCTCACCTTACTTCCGGTTGAAATTTTATTCAAATGCATGCTGGGAAAAGGAACTCTACAGTGTGGGAACACACTGATGGTAAGTGTTTTTTGATTGGTAAGGTAAGGTAGTTAAGGCTTTTAAATAAAGGGGGGTACCCCCTTTACCCCCATTATCTTACCTTTTTAAGCTTTAACATTTAATATTTAATATTGAACGCCGCTTCAACACAGCCTTCATTCATGGCGTGCCGTTGCTAAGGAAACAAAACGGAAGTGCGCAAAAATAAATGCGTAATCAAAATATAAATGGCGGATAGGTATCCGGTATTCTGTAATCTTGCCCTGATATCCAGTCACTGAATACAGGCAAATGATTTTATTCAAATTGCCTCTATTAACCCAGTAGGGTAAATGGGTACCTGGTAGGATAAATCATGTGACTATTCAACTTTCTAGCGCCTCTTGGCGGGATGGGCTATCAGGGGTAATAGAAGGTATAACATGTCAACACCTTGTACATGGTAAAGGGGTGTTATAGGGCACTTTTATTATTCTAACAAGCGCCTATTATCCCTCTGCATTCTGACGGATCTTGGAAGGTGTATTCTGTCAGTTTATTTTTTCATCATCCCCATCTCCCTAAAACACGCTAATGGCATCTGCCATTTAGTCTACCTATTTCTGCCATGCTTTACGACCATGTGCTAAGCTGGGCCCCGTCTTGCTGATTGCAATATACGCAATGTGGCGCAAGGGAGCCGGGAACCAGCTTGGGAACCAGCTTAGACCATGTGTAAGCTAAAATATAACGAATTATTTCATTTCAAATAGTATTTACTGCGGACTGAATGAGCTAATACACTGTAAATGGGCGCTGTAAACATCGCGTTGTTAGGTTGTAGAGTATTACAGGTGGACACGAGTTAATCACGGGTTTAATCAGCGGCGCATTATTATTGATACTTTTTCTATGAAGGTACATTTTCTTAGAAATATGACGTGCCATTGGAGATGCGCTGTAAGAATATTTTGCGCCATGTCACGGCATGTGGGAAATTATTCCATGATTTTGTGTCTGTGTTCACTGCACAACATAGCTGGACAATTCAGTCCCAATATTGCAAATACGAAGACTAAGGGTATGAATTGACAAGTCCATGTCAACCTTGATAGGATGGGTGTTTGTTTGTTATCCCCGCCAGTGCTTCAAATTGATAGGGATTTCTCACACCTGTACTCGAAATTATTCCAAACTTTCGTTCACAATCACGTTACTCCTATGGAATTTTAGGTTTTAGACCATGCATACTAGATCGATATCTTTTCATACGGCGGTTACCTTGTCTTGGGAATCTGGTAGCTGCCTCACCCTGGTTTTGAGGATTATATGGCAATTAATCAAGATACCATGGTCGCCAATTCAGCCCACGATGGATGCTTGCACACTCCTTTTGGGACGTCGTTTTCAGGCGGTTTTCCGATGCCAATCACACTCAAGTGCTTGTGTTAGACCATTCGGCAGCTATAGAACAATCTCACCTCTTGACTGGAGATAAGAATCTTCCAGAACAATCCAATGAGGAAATTGTTTCAACAATCTCTGGATACTTTTCATTCATATGATATTGACCCTCCATTTTTGTTATATTGAGGGGAATTCAGATTCAGGGCTATCTGAACGATTTCTTAGCGGATTGTTAAGAAACTGAAACACAGTACTATGGTGGGCTACAGATCATCAATCGCTTCTGTTTGAGATATACAAGGACTAGCAGTGGTTCTAACAGCTTGTTCTACAAGCCGATTAGATCGTTCCAGTTAAGAATCTTTTTCGGCTCCTAGTCCTACAATCGTCCCCAAGTTGGCTTTATGTCTATTTCTGCAGTCTCTGCAGAAGTCTTCCAAACCTATGCAGGGGGGTGCAGATATATCCAATCTCAGCAGTGGATCACTATTTTTGACTGTGAGGAGAGGAAGGAAACAGGATAACGGTAATGGAAGGATGAGGATCTTTGAAGAACCTTATCTACTAATATGTATCACCAGTTAAACGGGATTGTTATGTCCGCTGCAGTTTATTACTCCAGTTAAAATAATCCACGAGAAGACATGAAAGCACTTACCGGAAGTGACGTCATAGACTGGAAGTGACGTCATAAGACCGAAAGTGACGTCATAGACTTGAAGCTACATCATAGACCGGAAGTGATGTCAATAACACGGAAGTGACGCCATAACACCGGAAGTGACGTCATGTCTGGTAACGAGGTTTTGGTACGGGACTTAGGTCTCATGATTTAGTAAGAACGATATCATCGTTTAGGAATTAATTCAGTTATTGATCTAATTTCTCTCCAAATATATTTGGAATCCTCCCTCACGTTAACTTCCTGTTCTAGTAATGAATTAGCAAGATAACATGGTGGCGGGAATATTGAACAGGAAGTTATCTAAGTGATAGTTATCCCGAAGGGAAATTCTGGATTTCAGAGGTATAGTGGTATTCCTATGCTTCCTCATTCACTGGGGCCCTCCATCCTTATGTGGGATTCTGGCAACCATAATCATGTTTACGACATAATTAGGAACAATTACGGATATTGTTAGTAATTATTAGTAAACTTACCTCTGGATTATGGGATCTAGGTCCCTCCCTTCCTCCCCGTGAAGTGTATGAGGAAGAAATAGTTTAACAAATAAAATTTTAGAAAATTATGAGGGTGTTCAAAGAACACTGCTGTGATGTCACAACTAAGGGAGATAACCATGTCTCTATTTAGGCATACCACTAGGGATTGCTATGACTTTGAAAAATTTAAATCTCTTTCATTCTGTATGTATCTGTGGTACCCACAGGAAACTGGCAACAATAATCCAGAGGTAAGTTTACTAATTATGACTAACAATATCCGTAATTGTTCCTATTTTAGATGAAAGAAGTACTTATTCATTAAGAATGATGTACCTATTGAAATTGGTTAAATATTACAGTTTTCTGTACAAATTTGTATGTTCTTAATGCAAACTGTATACAAACTGAAAGTGAAAGAACATGCTTAACACCGGACTCCATTCAGATTCTGTCACTTTCATGTCTTGTATTATTATCAACAAACTTCTTTAATCAATAATAATAATCTACAAATGAGTTGAAATGACTTTCATTTGAAATAATTAGCAACAAATGCCCATTATCCATTTTTATTATCCACAGACATGTATCAAAGTGGCATATTCATGGAACATGTACCCAAACTTTGCTGCTTTTGTTTTCAGTTCCTCCCTGTATATAATCCTAGTGAGGAAGAAAAGAATGATGCTCGACTCTTTGCCAACAATGTTCGAGCAGTCATGGCCAAGTAAGTGTCTTTCGTTGAAACACATAAATCTCAATTACATTGTATTTTATGTGTATCTCTATATGTTTTTAGTCCTGCATTATATAATTTTCGAATGATTTAATATCTCATTGCTTTTAAGCAGTAAAATCCCTTAGGGTGTGTTGTGAGTGTGTGTGTGTGTGTGTGTGTGTGTGTGTGTGTGTGCGTATGTGGGTGTCCCCGGTGTCTAGATGTAAAAGTGTTTATTGCAGACTCATATTTGTAATCCATTATGTTAATTTTATTTCAGATGTCATTCAATTCTCATTACATTATTTTTTGTTGAATATACAAAGATTTCCTATGTTTGTATATTTTTTAAAATTCAATAATGATATTTGCCATGATATTAAGTATTATTAAAACTACATCACCCATGTATAGGGGAGAAAAGGTATGAACAGCTTAATGCTGTGTCTAGCATACTTTATAAGTACAAATACACACATGATCTTAATCTTTGTCATTGTCTGTCATTGTTTGTCATGAAGGACACAAGATGCCATTGAATTTGGTATATCATAATGTTTAGAGATGTTTAGTCTCACCAAATTGGCCAAAAAAACTGTGCTAGTAAATCGTACTGTCATCACCATAACATGAGATGCACAATGAGGTGTGAAAAGGGAAGTGAACTGCACACTGTAATGGATCTTGTCATTTGTAGCATTACATAAGTTTGGTGCCTAGGATGGGGCTGAGACATGGAATATTTACTTATTTCTTTTTCAAAAAATGGATATAGATATGAAACAGACCTTAACATGACATAACAGTACCTGAGAACCAAGACCATTATTTGTATTAGCCATGTTATGAATTATTGTGGGTTTAGTATGACTGACTGTCAACACTCCTAAAGATAAACTTATTGTGCTTCAACATATGGCGTTTCATTATGCCTCACATTTTGAGACATTTATTTTCCAGACACCTCAATTGTCCTGTAACAGACCACACTTATGATGATTGTCGTCTGATGGTTCGAGCAGCAAGGCTGAAATTGCCGATGGAGGCTGGATTAGTAGAATTTCAGAAACTTCATCAGAAACTAGGGTTTGTACCTTCCTTGAAATTTCCTTGAAATATATGTATTCATTTAATATGACCTTGACTCATTTCCTTTTGGAGCAATGGGATAGTAGCTTAAGTGTCTCTTATTGTGTTGATAATGGGGCACTTCAATTGCAGTGATAGATATAATTTTTCATTTGAAAACAGGTTTTTGTAAATAGAATTAAACCATTGTTTGAGTAGGTTGTTCATTGGTATATAAATTGAAGATGTCAAATTCATTTCTTAAATGGATTTTAGATCTGTTTGAATTTTATGCATATATATATTTCCATATAGAAGTGGCAGTTTGCACCAGCTGTGATATCCTTTGTTATTTCATGAATGGATCTTTTGCAGAGTTAGCTCTAAGCAGATGCAGGTATATTTAGACAAGTTCTGCAAAATAGCAAAATCTGGTCACATAAGCTTGGAGGAGTTTGCCATCTATTTACACCTGCCCAAGTCCCAAGCTTTAGAGGAAGTATTTGCTTTGTATGATCGGGTAAGTCTGTATATGGTGTGTCTTTAATACAAGTCTTTTTTCACCACAAAATAGGGATAAGAAGGGGGAGGGAAAGCATATTATGCAAATGGTTGGTTTTATTTGTGGTTAGTATATCAACAAGGATTCTGCTATGCAATAACACCATGATTTAGGGGCAGAACAGGTCCACAGTACCTCATGGTTGTTGCAAGAGCTGTTTAAAATTATGATTGGTCATTTTTGTTAACAAGGACACTGCTTCACAAAAATGTAGGTCTTATTGTTGAGATGAGGTCCTCAGTACCTCAGGGGGTTTAAGGGCCATTGGAATCAGTGGTTACAATGCATCTCCTTGTTGTTTGTTTGTCATCAAACCTCATCATGATATCAACAACTGATTTTCCTTGACTGAGATGTCGACATCATTTACATGCACATCCATTTACTCATAGTAGACCAGGAATTGTTATAGATTGTAGATAGAGGTATGCGAGTCAAGTGTATCAATATTGTATGTATGTAGTTTGTAAGAAACAGAAAGGTAACTTTAGTCTTAGTTTGGTGTCTGTTTTGAATAATTTATGTCATTACAAATATGTTCTGATCATAAATATATCTGAATGGTACACAATCTACAATATATGTTCATGTAAATTGATCTGTAAATCTGAACTGAATAAAATAAGTCTATATGAGCTCAAGACAAAAATGGGTAGCCTAGTGGTTAAAGTGTTCGCTTGTCACGTCTAAGGTATGGGTTCAATTGCCCACTTGGGTACAATGTGTGAAGCCCATTTCTGCTCTCCCCTGTCGTGATATTGCTGGAATATTGCTGAAAGCGGCGTAAAACCCAAACATCTTGTGAACTGATATCGCATAATTCCTGTCATAAAACTGCAGCCTGTACAATGGATAGCAACACAATGTCATTTTACTGTTGTATGTGTGCAACTTTCATATGTTGCCTGTGTTTAGTATTTGAAACTAAGTATTTTGTTTCTTTGTACAGGATAATTCTGGCACAATAGATTTCAGGGAGTATGTGATAGGTTTGTCCTTGGTGTCTGGACCGGCAAACTCAAACGACACTATACAGTTTGCATTCCAGGTAAATATTGGTAATTTGTTGTTTTGGGTTTTTTTGTTTTGTTTTTTGTTGTTGTTGTAAATAAATCTAGGTGCTGACACATTTCAGTCTGCCAACTAGTCCAAAGACCTGAGTGAAGTCAAATCTCTTGTGCTTATTCTGTCTTTGTACCCATGAAGATCCGGGTTAGAATTGATCTTCAGTAAACCATGCTTGTCGTAAAAGGCGAATGGCATCGGGTTGTCAGGCTCGCTCACTTGGTTGACACATGTCATCATATCTCCGATTGCATAGATCAATGTTCATGCTGTTGATCTGGTCCAGTTGATCTTCATTATTTACAGACCACTGACATATAGCTTGAATATTGCTGAGTGCGGCATAAAACAAAACTCACTCACTAGTTATGCTTTATGCTGAGTCTAAAAGCCACCTGAGTGCCAAAATACGAGATCAAACTAGTCGACTCATAAGTATTGACACAGATTGGTATCTGCAATGATTGTGATGCAGATTCTGTCAACTGGGTGAAACAATTCAGGGAAAATTGGCAAAAAAAGTATGGCTGTAACTGTTTTCAACCAAATGCCTTATGTTGTGTTCCTATTTTTTTACTTGGCTATTGTAGTTTTTCATTTAATTATTCTATTAAATTTTTTAATTGCAAAAGGTATTATTAGTTTAGTCCGGATGAAAAGGAAATGGCAAGTTAAAATGAAACAATTCACATGTACTTTCAGTTATTTGACACAGAAAATCAGGGTTACATCAGCAAAGAGGGGTTCACGCAGATCCTGTGTAATGCCTTTAAGATGAACACACAGGATGTGCAGGTGCTGTTTGACAAAGTGGACTCTGACAAAGATGACAAGATTTCATTTGGTAAGTAATAGTATGTTCAGATGACTAGATGTAGCTCATATTGCTGAAAGGTTTCTGTGACCTATTTGCGCTGTGACCTGTTTCACATTTTGGAGTTAGTTGACAGAGTTGCTTACAAGAATATGTTAAGATGTTTTGCTTTTATTATCATAACATGGATTGATTTTGCTCAGGGCATTTACTGGATGATCAAGCAAAATAATTGTTTAAAGATCTTTTGCTAGAAATCCCTAGTTTATGGTTCTACTCAAATGTTACAGGCATAGTAACATTAAATTCTCTTGGGGACTTGGGGAATGAAAAAAGAAAGATCACGATTATTACAAATGTTTGTGAAAGACCTTATTATCAACGAAGAAACTAACATATTGGTTGGCAAGGAATATTTCATGTGGTTTGGGTTCCATGACAACTGTATTTTAAGATCTATTTTTGGTCATTGGTCCTATGTATATAGAATGACTAGATTTGTTTGTATATCTAATGTACAGTAACACAATATCAATATATTCATCACTGGCTTGTATGGTCTCGAAAAGATTGCCAACAGGCCACCATAATATTGCTGAGTGCGACATGATGGAGATAGATAACCTGTACATTACAGGTATTGTATAGACTATCAGTAAATATATGCTCAGGTCAATGAGATCATTTATATTTATTTCCTATGTTGGTAAAATTACTTGCAGATGAATTCAAAGCCTATGCAGAAGAAAAACCTGAGTATGCAAAGTTGTTCAAGACATATCATGAGCTGGTACAAGGCAATGGCCATGTGGAGAACAATGGGACCCCACCTAAGGCAAAGTTTGATTGATGGGTATACCCTCCCCTCCATGTGTTCGTGAGGCTGTCGACTGTGGGAGTGATTCTACTAACTCCATACTCCAGGATCAACAGATCTGCTTATACGTGTTTTTATCTAATCAGCAATACACCTTTCTAAGTTTGACCCAAGATCTGCATGCTTCACTTGATGATATTTTGTTTGCAATTTGTCCACACACCTCTCTCTGCCTATCACCTGTTGCCTTGAACAGAATAAACATTGTAGACCAGATCGAATATATATAGGAATCATGAGCACCAAAATGGTTTTACCACAGATGTTAAATCTTAGAAATGAGTTTGTTTCACGAATTGTAAAAGCCATTTGGAACTCATGATTACTACAGCCATCGTCAGGAAGAAGCCGTGTTTGTTGAGATGAAACTTTAAAAATCATTAGTTACCAGTCTTTCTGTAAGATCTGGATCCAATGCAAAGACATGAACAGCGTGATAGCTGAGAAGGGTTGTACCGGTAGCTATGGTCACAATTGTCGGTAACTGTGGGCCTATTCCAGAGGAAAGTGAGTGACCCTGATGGGGGCCGTCCTGGCTATATGACGGTCTGGCCTTACACCAGACCTGATACAACATTCCTACCTCTGGAATGGCTGAAGGCAGAAGGGCAGAGATGGATGTGGTCTCTTTGTAACGTTTTGTTTATACACAACAACCATAGTGTCACAATATCTTATGAAGACTCCAGTTGGGGTCTTACGCTAGTCAAGGCACTAATTGTCTCGGCTGCGATATATTTTGTCAGTGGTAATGGTCTACATGAAATTAATAAGGGACATTATGAATGGAATAATGAATTTGTATCACAAGGATTTATAAACAGGTTTATGGGCAACTCATATTTGTAGTTATGGGTGCGTAGAGATCAAAAGATCAGATGATTCTATTTATGAACTTATATAAACAGCATTATATTATAATTTAGGTTTGATATACTGTACATCACTGCTCACAGATTAAAAGAGTTTTAGTGTTGAATGTTTGTTGAATATTTTCAATATTGATTTTGTTCTTGTAAATTGATTATAATTATCGCATTTAATAATTCTTGTGCTTTAAATTACAAATCTGTGGTGGATATTTTCAAAGATTTTGAAGGATAACAATTCTGAAATACCTTACAGTTGTTTGTTTTGGTTTCTTTACATTTGGTTAATTGGTTATGTTTGTGCCATATTATACTTTTGTTTGAATATTCTTTGTGTTCTTTATTTGTACATGTTTCATTTAGAAGGTTTAGTTGAATATTTAAAATGACTAAAATCAAATCAATTTGGATGAAATTTAAGAGGGGTGTATATTATAGCTGAAATTGTAAGATAATCCTATGGTCATGTCTACAAGAAAGTTTGAATTCTGCTTATACAGATCAAGCATTTGGGGTAATTGGGGAATTTGTTGATATGCCATGTAACATAACTGAGCTTTGCAAGCACAAAAAACTACCTCTGTCTCCCACCTTTCCCTAATATTCATGTACCCAGTGCTTGCCTAGTGTCCAGAATTGTGGAGGTCAATTAGGTTCCCTGATAAAGTATCGGAATCTAGACACCCCTCACTCTCACACATAGAACTTAAGGGATATGACAAGGACACTTTGACTGTTTATTCTGAACATTGATAATGCTCTGAAACATTATTAGTTGTAAGGTGTACATATTCTTGTTGGCAGTCCTTCAAGGAAGCATTTTGAATTGTACTAACCAGTCTTTCAGAGTCTTATGAATACAGGTTTCAGATTCTTATGACTGAGGAAAGATTTGTAGTTTTCTGTCTCCTTCATATTGAAACTGAGAATGAAACATATGTTTCAGTTCAAGCTGCACATGTTGAACCACTTCAAACTAGTTTGTGATCTTTTGTCCACTTGCATTTTTTTCTTTTGCTTATTAGCTTCAACTGTTGCTTTGTTTATTTTTTACTATAATCTCTGCAATACTGATGGATCTAACAGTTCATATTTTATTTTTGTTTATTTTGAAACAAGACCATTTTCAATCTCAATGTAGCCCATTAACCCTACAACTATTTTGTTTTATCTGGACTTTTGGGGTTAAATATACATACAGCTTTTCTGTACCTGAACATCAATACTCTTCGTTTGTATTCCATGTTATTTTTGGCCTGAAAGCTGTATCAAACATGGGACAGATTGAAGTTGGTATTTATTCCTTAGACTCTAGTCAGACCTTACACTAGTCCAGTAACTCATCCTGCACAACTGTATTACATTTCAGTGTCATTCACATGTTATTTTCTTTTAAAGAATTAATGTTTGTTTGAAAATATGTACCACTTCCTGTTCCTCAAAGCTAACACAGCACCAAGACAATCGTAATGCCCATAGGGCGGTGGGGTAGCCTAGTGGTTAAAGTGTTCGCTCATCATGCTGAAGGCCCAGGTTCGGTTCATCACATGTGTACAATGTGTTAAGCCCATTCCTGGTGTGCCCTGACCATGATATTGCATGAATATTGCTAAAATTGGCATAAACCCCAACTCACTCACTCACTGTAACACCCATACTCTAACAAAGACTTTTGACATTTGAAGCAATGGAATATCTTCGTGGAACAGGATCATGGTAAACATTACTAATGATTGTATATTAGTTTACTGCTACTAATCAGATGTTTGCTTTGGGATTGAACTTAGCACAAAGTCATTGTTCTGCCATTACAAATACCCCACTGTTTTGCTATAACACCTAAAATAAAACTCCCTTGATCAGTTCTTTCTGAATGTCTCTTATGTTGAGTTACTACTCTGTAGTTTCATCATTGCAATGGCTGAATACTCTGCATGTATTTTTTTCTTTTGCTCAATTTTCAGATGTTTCCACTCATGCAATAACAATAGTCCCTGAAATAAGAAAGAGGTTTTTACAAAGTCAGAATACTATATGTAACATTTGTAGTGGGTTGGAACTGAGAACTACAACAGGAATTCTCTCCCCTTTATTTCAGGCGATTGATTCAACAATATCAGATGCCACTCAAGACAGTTAACCTGAACTCAGATACAGTTTACCAAGGGGTGCGTAGTTCTGTTAGACAAGGCTGTAAGCTCACAACAAAATCAGAGAAGACTGTGTATATTGAGTACAGGTGCATATGAAAGAAATACCGGAACATCTTCTCTTGTATTTAGTTTGTGTAGGGGATAGTTTACAGAGATATGCATTGGTTTCTATCCCTGCCTTCTACAGGAAAATGTCTTGAAAACCTAAGTGGTTTGCATAATATGCTCAATAATAATACAGATGCCATACATTTATCTTAGTAGCCAGCGTAGTTTACAAGTCATCAGGGTATTATCCTCCATGTTTCGTACCATCAGGATCTAGTATTTTGAAACAGATTTCAAAATGTACTCATTTGCATGAGGTTTCTTGCCAAAGATGTGTGCATCATTTGTTATTTTAAATCTGGCTTGTTTTACATCAATTTCAGAGGTCAATGCTACCAAGTCAGTAACGGCCACACTAAACAGCTGGTCTGCTTCCCTAGTTAGGTTGCACAGGTGGCTGGCCCCGAGAACTGTTGATTGTATCAGCAGGCAACGTTTGATAATATTTATGTTAATTTCTTTTCTTTTTGTTCAGTGCACTACAATGTGTGTATATGGATTTATGAGCTCACCTGGTACAAAGTCCAAGTGTGCTCGTTGTGGAATATCGTTCGTCATTAAAGTTTACACTTTCAACATTCCTTTGTACCATTGGTATTACGCTGCTCAACCTCCAACAGGATATACCACCAATGGTTTCACCAGGATGTGCTCAAAATAGTTAATTTGATTACATTTATAGGGACAGTTTTCAACTGTACTGGGTTTGTGATGCATGAAGACACAAATCTAAAACCCTTCCATCTTCTTTGGTCTACATTATATAATTTAATGTTTCATATTTTTTTTTCTTTGCAATATGGTTGAACTATGATGACATACATGCAGTTTAAATTTGAAGTTATGGGGCTAAGTGCCAGGATTAATTCCCTGAAATTAAGTGTTCCCACACCCCATTCCCATTTGATTTGTGTTAGGATTTATGTTAAGTTTGAGTTTTTGCTGATTTTGATCCTTTGCTTGAATTGTGTTGATGTATTTTGTGTTTATCTAAGATTTACAGTTGAGCTGCAGAGCCTTGTGGTTTTCTATTTTTTTAAGATATACTTTTTGATGTGATATATAATTGTTGATACATCCCTATTTCCATGATATATTTTCATGTGAGATTCAAAAAGGTTCTATGAATGTTAACATATATCAAATGTAACATTGCCAAATAGTTGTTTAGGTGATGCTAAGTGTGTAAGTGATTCAAGTCATACATGAAGGCATTTAGTAGGTTGTGCACTAGGTTGGGAAATTGTTCGTTAAGCAATCAATATTTTGCTTCAAAATGCAGGATTTCATTTTGGGGAAAACTGTATATTTAGTCTTTGCATGACATTTTGTGCAGTATTTTTCTTCTTGAATCTCTGAAGGATCTTAAAATAGTCCAATGATTGAATCATTGATATTTATTAGAATTTTTAATACCCATTCACGTGTTCTTGAAAGCATTCTATGTTTGTTCTGTAAGTATTCGTGTCAAATAATACTTTTAATAAGATAGAGGACAAATTATCTTTTAATATTTGTTTTGTAGTTTCTGTCACAGAAAGTACTATTTAGATTTTTAACTATTTTCTCTATATTTGTATGTTATCTTTCCTTAACAATGGAGATGCAGAGATCAGTACTATTTTTCTATTTCAGAGTATCAACTTTCAATTTAGTACACTGATATGGCTTTATGAAAAGGTCTTAGGGATTGTCTTAAACATTCTCAATCAACTGATTCATTTGAAAAGATCAACAAAGTTCCTGTCTTGTACTCTTAGTTTTAGTTTGAAAGTCATACATAAACACAAACGATTTCAACAGGATGTTTTATTGAAAATATCAACAAAGTTCCTGTCTTGTACTCTTAGTTTTAGGTTGAAAGTCATACATAAACACAAACGATTTCAACAGAAAATATCAACAAAGTTCCTGTCTTGTACTCTTAGTTTTAGGTTGAAAGTCATACATAAACACAAACGATTTCAACAGGATGTTTTATTGAAAATATCAACAAAGTTCCTGTCTTGTACTCTTAGTTTTAGGTTGAAAGTCATACATAAACACAAACGATTTCAACAGGATGTTTTATTGAAAATATCAACAAAGTTCCTGTCTTGTACTCTTAGTTTTAGGTTGAAAGTCATACATAAACTTAGTTTTAGGTTGAAAGTCATACATAAACATTTTATGGCAAATTGTAAGAAATGCAGAGAAGTAAACTACTTTAAATACTGTTTGTATGAGTGTTTTGGCACCCTGATATTGATAAAACAACCAAAGGTTCATGAAACCAAATAACAACATACGCATAATAAGTGAACCCTTTTATTTGTGTCAACACATTCAAACAATGTGTACAGGTTCGGTGCAACACTAAAGAAATTCTGGCTGTTAACTGTGATCTTTAGCAGCGGTTCATTTTGGTAGCCATAGGAACCATTTGTCTTGTAGTGTGACACACAACTGAGGACAGAATCAAGCTAACAGTCTGTGTTTGTCATGGTAGAGCAAGATATTCATCTTCAGCTTTTGTTACTTCATTGAATCAGTTGGTGAGGGTCACATTTTGGAAGTGGTTATCTGTTCTTCGAACATCAGCTCTATTTTTGCAGTTTGTTTTTTCAAAATGTCTGCATTTACTACCCTGAAATTGTCTCAGCATTAGATTCAGCAGATTTGAATGTTAATGAATGGACTATTTTTATCTAGTGTGTTAGACCAAATGATACTTTACCTGACCTGTCGACTGACTAGTTGTGGAGGCTCGGACTGGTTTTGTCACACTTCTACTCAATAATAAGCCTTGCCTTTACACTGAATTGTTTGTGACCGAAATACCCACAGTTTACCAGTTTGGGATAAATATTCAAACTGCAGTAAACTAAAAGCCCTTGAAGGTTCTTGACAGGCATCATCCAGAAGGCAGCGTTTCCAGACTAACACATATGTTTGATGTTCATGAAACTGGAAGAAGCTGCTTTTATGATGAAGTAATGGGTATAATGACTTATGACATCAACAGCTTTTACACTATTTTACTTCCCTTGACATGAATCTCAAAAATAGATATGTGTAGCCACTGTGCTTTGTATTTTTGTCTTATCTAGTGTCATGTTTTCATTATTTAAAATGTAAATAAACTGGCAAAGTATTATTTTTGTTAGCATTTGAAGATACATTTACCAGTAAGATATTTTTTATTCTAAGATACCTGTAGGCCTAAATGATAATTGTTATTTATATTGTTATCTACTACTTAAGGCCATTGTGGTGTTATTAAGTCATTTATTATTCTTTACTGATGCATACAACTACTCTAACCAAGCATGTGTGTATATCTTATTGATCATTGTCCTAACTACATTCTGTCAATTAACTATGATATATATTTCCCATCTTCTTCATGTTCTACACTGGTTAGGATAGAAACTACTGTTAACTAATTCTGTAGGTGTGTATGAGGTACCGGTACAATATGATAATGCGAAATGAAGATGATTGTTTTGTCAAGACAGCTGTTCCTTGTGATAAATTGAGTGTTGGGCGAATTAAATTTGAGTCAGGTGCAGTTACTTTTGTCTCACCTGAACCACAATAAACTTTCAGAGAAAAGATTACCTGGAGAATCCTGTGTATTCGTACAGATTGAGCCGACATCTGTCCCACAATAGTTTGTGTTGAAAATATTGTTAAGTTGTTATTTGAGTATGAGTGATGCAAGATAATTGAAGATCTGTTTTAGCTTCTGTAACTGCCTGATTTAAGCAAGAGATAAATGCCTGAACGCTTACCATTGTTACTTTTCAACATGTACAATGTATTGTGGAAACCTGGAACAATGTTTCAGTGCATGAAGTCTGAAATTGGGTTCTTATTTGTTGCCATGGATTTTGTATGTGTGATTCGCCATGACTGTCATGCTACAAGAAACTGCATGACTGGATGTTGGATATAGTTGTATGTCCGTGTGAACTAATGGCATTCCATAACACAAGGCAGTGTATTCTGTAAATGTCTTTGGGTCTTCGCATAGTGCTTAAATAAATAGCAAAATACAGTTCTATCATCACAAGATCTACAGGATATCTTATTGAATATCTTTTATAAGAGTTGTATACAAAGTTGACTATGAGTCTCTCATGTGAGAAAGAAAGTGTTGTTCCATTTCCCCCAAATTTGGTGCATGTCAAGACCAGGACTCCTCGGATTGCTGATGATTATGAATGTAAAATACACTTTGATACAATAAAGTAAAGAAACAGGATATCAAGGTAATAATACAGGACATGATGCACCCGAAACAAAAACAAAAACTGTCTTGAACTTCTGCAACAGAGGATGACTTCAACTAGTTTATTGTTAGCAACAGCACAAATGTTTTTACTAAATTTATATTTATTCAACTCTTTAAAAATGATAGTCCTCGCTTTGAGAAATTAGGTATTTACAGCCCATCTGCATCTGATGTTTTACATCTACACTTGAATCTTGTGAGGTAGAACACCTAAAAAAAAATAGATAAAAAAACCAGATAAATAGATACATTTGCTTATAGACTATAGCTTTATTTATTATCTTTTAATAACAGAATTGTTTTTGTCATTTAATGTAAGCAAATTGATGGCAAACATGCTGTTCCTCAAAGTATCTGATAAATTTACAAAAACATTTGAAGCACTTCATCACTTCACTGACTGATTGGTGTTAACCGTCTTTGCTCATCTTGACTGCCATTGAAAATAACTCCATAATAAGAGAATATTTTGGAAAATGGTGTGAATTTGAAAAATACTCTCAAACATGTCCACTATTTGTTGTCTTACCAAATTTATTTATTTATTTTTCTGGTGAATATATTTTTTAAATTGCTTTTAAACATCTTCAATTATCAAGTCTCTATTCCTTGTGTGGTAATATCACTTTGTTACTGTGTTTTAATTGGTACAATATTAGACATGTGGTATGTGATAAGAAAGTTGGAGAAGTAGTTACTTTCATCTCAGTCCCATGATTTGCCACTAAATGATAGTCGATTGTAGCAGTTTCATTAAAATCTCTGATATGATACGTTCTTAGAATGTGATGTTAATTGAATCCAGAGCAAACTTTGACTTACCAATCTAATTGAAGAATGTGTGGATTCTTGAGCCAGCCAGCTTTCTAAAAGGATTTGGGTTAATTTCTTCAGCACCTTTATTCAGCATTATTTTTATCTTAGCTACCAGAGAAGCCAACAGAATAAAAAACAGTCTCTTATAATTTCATGCTTAAGGGTATAAATGACATGGCATTTATAGTGACAGGATGTGTTACATATCATCAACAATATACTGGTGCACTTTATAATTGCATTTGAAATTGCCCAATTGACTTTGTTTAAGAGACACACAAATAAGATTTGCTGGTCTAAATTCTCCTCTCACTTGAATTCATGATTTTGATGCTGATGGGCTGATGTACTAATGAGAAAATACAGTGACCTTGTACAGAGATGTCCCCAGAGATTTACCTATGGGAGTAATAGATTTCCAAATTAAATTAGACAGTGAACAAGCTGTTCTGACACATGTCGCAGAGACCAGTAATGACATTGACAGAGCCAAGTGTATTTTAACTTTATCCTGTGATTCTTCTACTTCCAAAGATATGTTTTATTCCTTTCTACTGTGTTTTCTTGTTTGTTATCCCAAATGCTCATACATGGAAACTGATAGCCAGCTTTTTGTTCATGTCTCATTCTGTAACACTTTGATAGAAGTGTTCATGTTGTCTCCTTGCTTGCGTGAGTGGGATGATGCAGGAGGACATGTCCTGGCAAACAATGTCCTGGCAAGCAGGCAAGCTGATCAGCTTAAGTGGAAGCTTTCACTGGACATCTTGTTAATTAAAATAGGAATTTGTTCCACAGTTCTACCAGAGAGTGGCCTTATCAGCTAAATGTATAGTTTGCATCATTGGGCATTTTCCCCAAACATTTTCATAACTACTGTGTTTGTTTTCTAATGTGTCACATGTCTTTAAACATCAATACCTTCATGAAAAATAAACTGTGTTTTATCTGAAATTGTCTGTTTTTGTTGCTATCATTGATATTTACAAACATATCATGTACTTTCAACTGAGGTAAATATGATATGTTAACAAATATATAGTAACGGATACAAATATTTATTCATGAATATTTTATGGTTAAATATCTGGGCATTTGAACAGCACACATGTCATGTAATTGCTTAAGTTGGAACATGCAAATGACATTCGCAATAAAATAAAAAAGGAATACATGGCGAACAATGTCGCTTATAATCATGTCAGTGTTGGAGGGACCCACATCAAATTAACACAAGTTGAAACGTTTCACTATGGTTTGTATATTTTGCTTTACATTCACTTAGATAAGCAACTAGTTTGTAAAGTAAAAACTAGTGAGTTGGAACACCCTCTTAAAAATATTTGTTAGTATTCCTGGCCATACTAGTGACTACGATAATGAATTAAGTTCAGGGAGGGATTCGATTCAATTCACTGAAGACATGACTGAATTGTAACAGGACTAGTAATATGAACCATGAAGGTTATAGTGAAAGTGACTATTTTCTCTTGAAGATTGGTTTGCATCTGGAAATCATAACATCTGGTTCAGCTTGCAATGAATCACAGGTAACGATTATCCTGACTTCAAGATTAGGCTGAAAGGAGACACTACAAGACTAGTGTGGGAAATAACTGCCTTCCAGATGAAATTTCATTTTGGCAAAAGGTTCTGAAATGTTCCAAGCCTGACCATCTTCCCTAGGCAAAGAGGTATACCGACTCTTAGGTGCAGTTTTAATCCTTGCCAAAATAGACAGGAATATGTGACTAGATCATAGCACCTGGCACCAGAAGTGGCTGTTCAGAATAATGTCCCTTCTATGTCCGTCCTGTTGACCAGTCAGATTCCACCTCTCTTCAATGCATGTTTTGAACAAAATCGTGGCATCAAGTCGAGGCACTCTGATCTGTTATCAAGATCTGTATTGTTGTTAAACTGGTCTTACCTCATAAAGTGCATTAAATCACTTGAACAGGTTGTAAAAAATTAACAGATTTGGATAAACATGTGGATGACCTGTGGATGGTACACATCTTGCAATCAACCAAAATGTTCATGGCAGTTGCAATGTTCTTTACAAATCGGATGTTGATTCCATTATTGATTTTGATTGCACTATGCATGGACTCAATAGACCAGTCAAAATATACTGATAACTCAGAAAATCCAGCCTAGTTCCTCATGGGTGGAAATTACTTACAGCTAATGTAACTCCCTTTGCTTCAGGGTGATGGTGCCTGACTGGCCACTGAAATTTTCATGGAGATTCGTATTTTCCAGTTTTGCCATTTTTTGTAGAAAAATATGACTTTCCAAACAATTAAAGTAATATAATTACTTTGAGCTAGAAATCAATGTTGTGAGATTAGTCATTTTTATCTTCTGGTCGGTTTTGTCTTCATTGGTTGTAATGTAACCATTTACAGACTGTGATTACGTAACAAATTTTAACAACCCATGAGAGACTTTATGGGGACAAAGAATACACTGTCACAACAATTTCACAATTGTCAGTTTGTATGCTGTGAAAGGAGATTAAAATAAGCTGGGGTATGTGAAAGTGGACACGTTTTAGAAACATTTAGTGATCAAGTACTTATAGAAACCTACATACAGTACATATGTGTACAGACATAAATAACCTACGAACCATACCATACATACTTCATACATGCATATTGAACTTGCATACCAGTTTTGTATTCTCATCCAATATCTAATCACTTTCGTTTTTGGGTGAACAATGGCATCATTTAGTGGTGATTCTGGGTCAGAGTCTGTCCTCAGCAACCTTTACTGGTGCATTCTCTATACCCCAAAGCTCACAATACAGTAGACCTACTCTAACTGGGAGGGGCGGTGGGGTAGCCTCGTGGATGAGGTGTTGGCTCGTCTTGGTGAAGACCTGGGTTCAATTCCCCCCATGGGTACCATGGTGTAGCCCATTTCTGGTGTCCCCAGCCATGATATTGCTGGAATATTGCTAAAAGCGGTGCCCAGTTGTACTCAAAATACCAATCACTGGATTGTCTGCACATTACGTACAGATCACTGTCAGCTGGAGTATTGCTCATGAAGGCAGTGAACAATGAACATACAAAATATTTCACGGAGAATTACTTGCTATGGGATCACAGGCCCTCTTTATGGGACTACAGCAAGGTATTCATGTATTGAAGGGATTATGTCCAAGGTATCTTATCATGATATACGGGAAATAAAATATTCCGGATACCAAGGTTGGGGTTATAGCTAAAACGGCACCAAATTTGTTTGGCGAAAACGGCACCATATTGGCGAAAACGGCTACTGATTTCTGAGCTAAAACGGCACCATATATAAAACAAAGTATGACGTTGACTTTTATGTTTTATTTCATTTCATTACAACATTAGCAAGATTATAGCAACATACATAAAACAAAGTATGACGTTGACTTATGTTTTATTTCATTTCATTATAACATTAGCAAGACTATAGCAACATACATAAAACAAAGTATGACGTTGACTTATGTTTTATTTCATTTCATTACCACATTAGCATGATTATAGCAACATACATAAAACCAGAGACCATATAGATAAAACAAAGTATGACGTTGACTTATGTTTTATTTCATTTCATTATAACATTAGCAAGATTATAGCAACATACATAAAACAAAGTATGACGTTGACTTATGTTTTATTTCATTTCATTATAACATTAGCAAGATTATAGCAACATACATGAAACATTTCATTAAGAAATGTATACCTTCAACAAAGTTGTTTGTCCTGACCACGATGTTGAAGACTGACCAGGTGCGGGGGGTGAATATAGGATGGGAGATCCACTGTCTCTCAAAGTAGTCTGTCAGTTGTCGCAGCTTGCCATGAGTGGGGTTCTTGTTTATTATATTTTGAGCAGTAAAAGATAGTGTGGGCTATTGTTTCAGGAAATTGGCAAGCGATACATTTGCCGTTTGGATGAAGGTTGATTTTGTGTTGATAGTGATTATGATTGCCATTTGCTAATCTTAATCTGGTTATGGCAACATCAATTCGGCGTGTTTGGTCCTTGGATCCGTCAGTATAAATGTTCTTGCACTGTGAATTTGTTATGTATATAGTGTTCATTAAATTTTGTGTTGGTCAAGATTTTTGGCAGTAATGCTGGAGGAAGGGATTGTAGTATGGGTTTGTATTAAGTATATACATCAAGTTGTTGTTTAATTTCCTGTATTTTGGGGGGATGCCCTTAACAATCACTGTCGGCACAGAGTAGATGTATTTATTGTCCAAACATTCTGCAATCCGATTATCGGCTATGGGATGCCCTTTCCAATCACTGTCGGCAGTGTCTACGAGACGTATTTAGTATCTAAACAATCAGTTTTATCAGAATTATCTATAATGACAAACTAGTTTTCCACATAAGATTTTAGTTGGTGCCGTTTCGCATATATTGCATCAATTAAATCGAAGAGTTTCTTCCTGGACGAAGATTAATATGATAAATCATAACAGAACATTCACTCACTGAAATGATCATCATCAAAGTATATTTCAAACTCAACAACCATGAATTGATCAACTATTTTGGAAATCTAATCACCAACCAAGACATACTTTTGGTGAGTAATTAAAAATAAAGTACCAAAGACCTTTGCACAGTTTGGATCTACAACAACAACAAAAATGTCCGGCCAATCACGAAACATATGCTTCGAACTTACTTTGTAGGATTATTAACACATGTTATAGCAACAACGTTGACCTGTGTTACCTCCCTTTTATTGATATCCCATACAACAAAGTTGTTGTACACATTTGGTCAGTCTGCCATTACTGTATGTCTTGTGTAAGGCGTGAAATATTTCAGTTTGTTTGGTTGTTCAGAATGACTATTGCCTGAGGTGAAAATATTATGCAAGAACCATTATATCTATTTTGATATTTCACAAGGGATATCATATACACAACATGGCTGTCCCTTTCGTTATTAAGGTTGCAGCCGCCGTAACGGTTCTGCTTGCCGTCATTCTGGGTGGGATGTATGCCTTGTCTCTCCAGGCAAAAATGTCAAGATTGCAGTTCGTCATTTTTGCACAAGCATTCCTGATTTTTCTCTCCAGATTTGTGTGGAATAACTTCTCGACTATGTTCGATAAGCCGTCACGGAAGGAAGGGCTAAGACATGTCAAATATTCGGATAAAGATCTTCATCAGATGGACGTTGCCCAATATGATCTCAAGAAGTGGACAATATGGAGGATTTTTCTTATAACGTACTTAGTATTATGTCATATCAGTTACTTTACGAACTTTTACTTCATAGGTCGAGAACCGTATGTTATAGCATACAGTTGTTATGCGGCACTTGGACTATTGTTTCAGATAGTGACAGGTTTAGTATTTGTGAAAGTTATTCTGTTTTGTGTAAGGTTCATTTTTAAAAGTAATTCCTTTTTTTCCAAACAACGGGAATTACAGTTTGTACTTATTTATGCTATTCTTTTATGGACGTATGGTCTTTACAACGCTACTACTCCTCCTGTTGTGAAAGAAGTCCCCATTCCAGTCAAAGGATTGCCTGCATCTCTTGATGGATTGAGAATTGTGCAAATATCAGACATTCATCTTGGACCAACTGTTGGAAGATGGAGACTTACTCGCATAGTAAATATCATTAATGAGTTGGATGCAGGTAAATACGAACTTGAAACAGTGATGTCAATAAATCAGAGCACGTTTTGAGTGAGTGAATAAGGTTTCATGCCTCTTTGAGCAATATTCCAGCAATATCATGGCAGGGGGACACCAGAAAAGCACTTTCATGTATTTACATGGGTCAGAGATTCAGCTTCCATTGTTTAAAATGTATGAGAAGGGGATACATTTGCCCCTTAGACCCAAAACACAGCTCTTTCCTGCAGTTTTCATTACCAAAAAAAAGCTTTAAAACCTAACCAATTTATTGCTGAAGATGTCCCACAGAAGATAGTGTTCAGACCAGCGACGGATGTGTGCAGCATCAATAATTAAATTCTTGACAAACTGCATTCCTGTACACAATAATGAAAATTACTTCATATTTGTGAATCTTCTCACTCGAAAAATGTTGATATGTTTATCTTGTATTATGTAGGGAGAAATAGGACATTCAGTATTTATCTCCTCCATGCTTTTGCTTTTGTTTTTCGTTTTTAACGCTGCTCTCAGCAATAGTCACACTTTATAAGTGTGTAAATAATTGAGTCTGGACCAGACAATCCAGTGATCAACTGCATGGGCATTGATCTACCCAATTGGGATATGATGATAAGTGTTAGTCGCCTCTTACAGTAAGAATGGATTACTGAAGACCAGCTCTAACCCGGATCTTCTCGGGTCTCCTCCAAGTGTATATGACACAAATACTGCTTTTGGTCAGATTAAAGCTGAGTGAATCCAGCAACTTTGTCTTGTGTAATCCTTGGATATCAAATTATTTCATGTTGGAATGGTTTTGACTGTGTGTTTTTTGTATTTTTCCAATATGTTTTCATTCTGTATTCAGCTTGTTCATGGAAACATTTGAGTTTTTATTATTGACTCAGTTTCATATCCTTGCAGATGTTGTTGTGATGACTGGAGATCTCGTCGATGGAAGTGTTGCAAGCCTCAGGGAAGCAGTGGAACCTGTTAAGGATATTCAGGCCAAGTTTGGGAAATATTTTATAACAGGTGCACTTGTTTGTTGGTGGCATTCCATAATGACATTGTGTTTTGTCTATATCCATCTAAGTTTATCTTTTTCGTGCTTGTCATAAGAGACAACTGGTATCAGGTGGAGAGACCCACTGACATGGTAGGTCCGTGTCATCATGTCCCATTGTGTAAGTTTGATGCTCATGATGTCAATCACCAAATTGTCCAGACCAGACTCTACTCCTTACAGACCTCTGTCACATAGCTGGAATATAGCTGAGTGTGGCCATATTTGTAAAACTATAGCAGCAAATCTCAAGGACCCTTCTTTGCATGCCCAGTTCTAATTTCTGACTCGAACACAGTCTGTGCCAATTACTAGTGAGTCTACAGCCCCAGTATATTTCAGCTTAAGACACAGTACTTAAACTAAAATATGAGACCAGGCCCCGATTTCTCAAAACAAACTTAGTTTGAAATTTGTAAAAACTTGAGTTTGACAATTTGAAACAGCTGGATTTTTAACTCAACTGCATTTTAATATAAAAAGCCCAAACAACTTAAGTAATCTATCCACCAAACTCAAATTGTCAACTATGTTTGAGTTGGATATCAATTTCAGTTCATTCTGGGAAATGCATTTTGCTGCGTTTTCTTTGATGGGCATTTTAGAAGTTGAGTTGATGAAGAATGATGACAAGTGATACATGAGAAACAAATTCAGATAATATGTAAATGAGTTGTTATTACAATAGATTGGGAATGAGTTGTTTATACAATAAATGAGGTTAATGTACATCGCTTGTATAGGAGATTGAGTAAGTTGATTGGAACCCAGTTGGGTGACATACAAGGACTGACTTAGAGCTTATACAAATGATAGGAAGCCAGGTGAATGTTTCCACAATAGATGCGGTTGATGTACATAGTTTGTATGACATGTTGGGTAAAGTTGTATTGAAACAGATAATGTGCACAAGAAGTATTACTGATGATTACTTTATCAAGTGATGGTAGGCATCGGGAATGTAGTACCCTTCATCTCTCTTGAGGGCAGAGCCTATCTTTTTTATATGCACTGCTTCCAAAAAATTATGAAATTTGTCGCCTGACTGGTTCCTTTCTATGGTCTTGATGTTGTCCCAGTTGATAGTGTGGTTAGGGTGGGCTTTGATGTGGTTGGCAATGGCTGATTTAGAATCGTTCTTCCTAACTGAAGCCTGGTGTTCCTTGATCATGTTGATCCTGAGGGTGAGTGGTCTTGATGTTTCTCCAACATAGGAGTCACCGCAATAACATTCTATGTAGTAAACCACACCTGAGGGGTCTTGCTTGTGGGACGACCTAGGTCTTCCTGTGGCCTGCAAGAGGTTCTGGATGCTGTTGCCTCTTGTTGACATCTTTGTCAGCTTGCTGCTTCAAGAGTTGTTGGATGTGATGACTAGTTGTTTCTCATGTATCACTTGCTTGACAACGACATTAGAATCTATGTTGAAATGTCGCCTTTCACAAGAAAAGAAGTTGTATATCCATAAAAATTGTCATCATTCTTCTAAAAACTCTTACTTAAGTCAAAACTCAGACTTAAGTTTGTTTCAAGAAATCGGGGCCAGAAACATGTGAACTTGACTCTGGGTTTGAACTAGTGTCTAAAGACACTGACTGCTACATTAACAAATCTGTCACTGAAAAATAGTATAAAATCATTTAGATTGCTTTAAAATTACCCATTTTGTCACTGTGGTCAGTTCACCAGGAACCATGTATGAACCATGCAATCTGAAAAAATTGATTTGACAGTCTTCAGCTTTAGACACTTGTCTGAAAGCCTGAGGCAAGTGAATTAGTTTTTATTATTATAGGATATTTAGGGTGCACATATCCAGGCAACTAGTGCATGCTCAAGGCGCTGGTATTTTTCCCTCGATCATTGGATGTCAATCTCAACGGCACATCGTATCATCAATCTCAACTCCCTGGGCAGTATACAACTCTTGCAGCCACTAGGTGCACCAAGTTATTATGTCTTTCTCATCCTCACGAGGTACCCATTCACAGCTGGGTGGACTGGGACACATTGTCACAGTACTTTGTCCAAGTTCACTGAATGTTGCTGTACCCACAACTAGGTGTTTGCACATATTCATTGGGCCACCATCTTTTCATATACCAACGGATTCGTGGGTTCTTTTAAGTGCACAGGGTTGTGTACTGTATACTGTTTTGTCCTCTCAGCTAGTAAGAGTGTAATAGTGGTACATAAAAATCCACAGAAAATTATGCTTATGACCAAGGTTGACTCAAAAGTGATGGGCATTGACGGTAGAAAGTTTGTTTTGTCTGTTTGTTTTCCAATGTATGTTGTTTGTTTTCTGTTTCAGGCAATCATGAGTACTATACAGGTGATGTAGACAATTGGTTCTCTCACCTCCGTGGTCTCGGCTTTATTGTATTACACAACAGTAATGTCCGACTTCCCAGTGAGAAACTACCCACCAACCAACAAATATGCCTTGCTGGGACAGACGATATCCATGCTTTAAAGATAGGGTAAGGGACAAAGGATATTGTCCTTAATCCATGACTTACCTTGCAGAATACATTCCAGTTACCATGGTTACCTATGCTAACTAAATTTCGATCAATTATTGATAAGTATTGGAGACAGTACTTTGAGCTAAAAAATACACAGCCTGGTCTTGTAAAAACAATGTGTAGAAACCACCACCAGTGGTAAAACTAAAGTTGAAATGTAATATGCAGGTAAAATTTGAAATCTTTGGTTTAAACATTCAGGTATGGTGATCATGGGATGAAGCTTGATGATGCTCTGGGGTCATGTGATCCAAGTCAGCCAGTAATTCTGCTTGCCCATCAGCCGAAGGCAGCCAAGACTGCTTTGGACTCCAAATACAGAGTTGATGTTGTCCTGTCAGGTAGCCATTATTCAAAGCAATTTCTCCAAAGCATTTGATTGTCTGTTATTGGTTGGGATTATGTTAAAATTGTTCATTGGACATGCTGGGTGGTATGACCAATAATGTACTTGACTCCTCCTGTCTAAGAAAGCAATGTGTTTCTTGCACTGTTGAAGAAATATACTGTCTGAAAACCAAAGTGTTAGTGATGGGGTGAGTAGATACCAGAAAGGGTTGAGGTGGTACATATGTCATATTGCCCTCGGGAACTTTTGATAAGCTGGTCAGCTGCCATAATCTGAAGAGCTTACATCCATAAAACTAATTTCCAATCTTTGTTAATGATTAATGTTCCGGTGTATGCTGTTTGGGAACCAAGGAAAGGTTCAGGTTATGCGTTTTATCTTGTTCCATAAATTCCAGTCATAGATTACAAAGAACACAGTCATGCCTCAACGCAGCATTTACTTATCCCATTCTTTATAGTTATCTGCTTCATACTTGATGAGAATTGACTCTATACAGTCAAACACAGTTGAGTTTGATGTCGATATTATGTATGTTTACCAAGTAAAAGTTTGGTCCCTTCTCACTCATTCTTCAGTCATCATTTTGCAGTTGTGTCAAAACTCAGATAACTGAAAGTATTTATGGTGGTTTTTTTCAACTTCGACAAAACAGTGTTTGACTGTACATTAATTGTTGTGAGTACAGTAACTCTGTCATCATGGGCGATATCAGGACCAGAATACCTCGTATGCTGCTGTCATCCAACTGAACCCTGAAGTGGGTGACACTAGTGATATATGCCTCAGTTATTGACTCTCTTTATCTATTACAGGTCACACTCATGGAGGACAGTTCTTCCCAATGATGTTTGGATCTTATTTTTTGCACCCCTTCTTTTCCGGACTGTATCGCTATGGTGAATCCAGTCATGTGTACGTCTCAGTGGGTACTCAGTATATGGGCATCCCTATGAGGATTGGAGCAACTATGGAGGTCACAAAGATAATACTCACTCCTGGATATTTTTAGAATAAGTCACTTTTAAATTATATGATTTTTCAAAGAAATTGAGTTGTTTCACAAATTTTGCGAAGAAAACAGAGGAGAGACACATTAAAGAATTTTGCGTCCGTCCACCCATCCATCCATCCATCATTCATTCATTCATTCATTCATTCATTCATTCATTCATTCATTCATTCATTCATTCATTCATTCATTCATTCATGTTGATATTCTATTTTATATTTAACATGTTCCATGTGGTGTAACCCACAGCATATATAGGCAGTCATCAGACTGACACAGATGAAAGATATATTTAACAGTTTCGATCTACTCTGTTTGTGGGATTTTACAGGTTGGGAATCTGCCATGACAGACATAAATGACATCAAACAACAATACAGTATACCCTGGTTATAATACCACCATTTGTCCAGGAGAAAATATGGCATTAGGTAGGACCTCAACAGGATGGTTGGTGGTACGGCATTGTCTATGTATATGTATTTCACAATGTCCATTTATGTGACTGCCATAAACATAGAGATGCTTTGAGTATTTGCACAGATAGATTTGTTCTCTCTATACTGAAATCATCATTAATAAGATATTACATTGTTTATTACATCGTGTATATTACATTCCTATATAATATATGGCTTTGACTCCACAGCTTGTCGTTTGCTCTAAGCCTTTCACACTCCACCACTCCTGTGTCTGCACTACACCCTGTAACTCTACCGAATGAACTAAAAGTGCTTCAAACTAAATTATTCCACACAAAAGAGCGTTCTAAAGAACAAATAAAGACCATACATACAGTAGTTGAAGACTCAGACATAGTCGTAGTATGAATACTCTTGGTCAGCACTAGTCAAAGCACGTGTATACATGATGCGTGACAGCAGAAGGAATGATGATACGGGCCAAGGTGCTTACCTGGTTGGCCACGCATGTGTGGCAGGGAGGTAACTCCATGTGGTGGGGGCCGTATAATGATTAAAAAAGGCTTTTATTTATTGTACATTATTTTTATTAAAACATTGATACAACTGTCACATGGCATTTTCAACAGCAGAAAATGCATATATGTACCCCAAGGACGATCTCTATGAAAAAGAATAAATTATTCCACACTTGACCATGAAATACCTTGCAAGTGTAAAGCCCAAGGAACGCTTCTTATATTTCACCATGAGTAACGCTTCTTATATTTGACCATGGAATAAGTAAATATAGAAATAAATGTTTGAACAAACTATGTTGCTATATGGCAGAAACAATGCCGATGTGACATAAAATTTCATCTCGCTCATTCACTCACTTGTAAGGAAGTGTACAGAGATGAAAATAAGTGACAAAACCCTTTCCATAGTCGATTGTATGATTTCGACTGAGTCATGAGTTTGTGTTTAAACATCAAATAGTGATAATGCATGTGTTTTCACAAAGGTGAGCATATCCTGCCTCACATCCTGTCACAAATACATGCAGAGGCAGGTCAATTATCCACAGGAACATCTGGTACAATTAATCAAATTGCAAATGTCCTCCACATGTCAACCATAAAATAGATTGTAAGCTGTAATAAGGCCTTGAATGTTACCATGGTTACCAGGAGAGGAGACTTGGCAGTATGCTTTGAAATCAGATGCCTTATCATGCATACTTTATGAAATATTTTTGAATTTTTATGTGACCAGATGAATATTTCATGTTAGAGGGTTCATGTTTTATAGAATTTCCCGTGTTTGATGTCATACATATCATATCTGTGATTACCGGTACTTTCGTTTGATTATACATTCCATTTTTTAAATATATTTATACTATATATCATAAAGATTTGTTTATTTACTGACGCAGATTTAAAATGAAATGATTCTCTCAGGTCTCAGAACCTGGGTGAGGAACAAACTGGCTTGTTAGCCTTGGTCTTGTGAGGCAGGTTTTATATGTGACTTTTATTGTAATATTTACATATCTTTGTTTTGAGAAAACGATTTTATATTTCTCATTTATGTCTCTAAATATATTTTTATGACCATGTCCAGCAGCTTTGGTCTTGCCACCCACACTACAATCCTGCTGTGGACGGGTACCTGGTGCGACAAAATGTTCAACTGAATCTAAACCTTCTAGTGATTTGGTTTGATGGAATCATCAGGGGGCTGAGAATGAATATGAGTGTACACTGAATAACTAATACCGGAGTGATAACAGATTTATCTGCCTGAGGTTTATGGGAAATTGCCATGGATACAAGGATGAAAATTTGCATACATCATAATGGTATGACATGTTTGAATGAAAACCATCATCAAAATTTCATTTAGAGTTATGTCTGTGGCCCTTGTTGGATGTTTGACACATGGTGCACAGTACTGACAATTCCTAGATGACATTTAAGACAGATCATTAACTGATGACAATGTCATCAAGTTTGAAAACTGTCATCAAGAAGGAATGTTTTACAGAGTTATGACCCTTGTTGTTTTTGTGTTTTCATTTGCTCAAATGATGTTATTGTTCATTTCAAAAGATGTCATGTAAACCCTTGCATATATCTTTCTATACACATCATCATTGCTATGTTTTCTTTGTGTTCACATTTTCTCTTTTGGTCTTCCAAAACAAGAAGTTCAAATTATATAAAAATATTTTCTCTGATACTTTGCAAATTTGTTTTGGCTTGCTAGGACTGTTGCATATCATGGCTCTATTTGGTCTCTTTGTGTATATCTGGTTGACTTTGTATTTTGTTATTTATCATTAAAATGATCTTCAATACCGATGCCTGAACCTGAAGATTTGTTAAGTCAGCATGTGTCAAGATAAGTTAGACTTTGCAGGGTCAGGTGCCTTTCATGATAAACAGACAATGTTCTTGTACCAAATGTGTGCCAGGTACTTGTGTAATCCTGGATATTTATCAAAGGAGGTAATTGCAAATGTAGGTATTGAAGTTCCAATTCATGAAAATGTAGGTGACAGGCTTATCTATTTTCCAAGTATTTATTGTTACTGTATTTTGTTTTGTGGACTATAATTTCAAGAATGCAGGTGAGCTACAGTGCTTTATGGTTGTACCGCTGCTGGTGCATATTCACCTAACACAATTCTACTGTTGACAGGGAATATATTTTAGTATATCATGTATCCATATGAATTGTTTGTTGATCCTTATGTAATATTGTTCTGTTCATTGTTGGAGAATTATTTTTCCATGTATTTTATGTTTGATTTCAATGGAGTTTTACACAACGTCAGATGAATTTGGATATATTCCTTGAATAGTTGACATACATGATCAGGATTCACACAGGTCCTTACACTTGTGTCCTTGCTGGAGTCATCACACAAATAGCCATACATGAGAACAACATCATCATGAATAGTCCTATATGAAAGACGGGACTTCTTGATTGCAAAAACTTTGTGCACAAATGCTTAACTCCATGCTATGACTAACTAAAAACAGCACAACCTGGCAGCTTTGGAATCACAATCAAATATAACCAGGGTATGCAATTTTACATGTGCCACTGAACAACAGGAAGTTGTTGCAGAGAACCAGGAAATATGTATATGAATAAGGTGAACAAAATTGCCCCAAGTTTGAAAACATACTGATAATTAAGTTTTGATGAAAATAAAAATGAATTGAAATACCCTATAGGATCTGCATTTTATTACAAACAATAGTAATCTTGTATACATAAGCCGAAGTCAGTCAATGAGAAGTTAATTGGTGATCCAACTACTAGTAACTGATCCAATTAACAAACCAGCGCGGCTCGCACCTTTCCGCTATTGTCGGGTGAGTTCAAAAGGCAGATTAGTGATTTTACGGAAACGGAAGAATTAGCACATGACATTGAGTTAACTCAATCAAATCGGTTGCGTTATATAGCAGCTTTCATTCGGTTATTACTATTCATGATCTGTATATCATGGCGGAGTTACAATGCTCCCAGCAATCTGGGGGGATAAACAGATCGGAAACATCAACTCCAAAACGTAAGCGCATTCTAAAAGTGCACACTATTGACAAGAAGTTTGCAGCGATCACTGCAGTGGAATAAAGGAATTGTTCAATATTCAATCGTCTTTTTTTTCTACCCTCATAGACATACCTATGTCTCGAATACGTCGATAAGCCGAATCTTTTACTTGGTCCCCAGCGATTCGACTCATCGGGATTTGACTGTATATCAGACTGAGGCATGCATTTGTGGGGAAAATGTATAAGAGGTATTGGACCATGTGTATATCATGACAGTGTTCTTCTGTTACAGAATTCTTGCACAGCATTATTATAGAGCCCCATCTGTGTCCAAGGTGCCATTTGATGACTGAAGAATATTTGATGGCATACTTGATATGAACTCAATGAACACAATGTCACCTTGAAAACATCCTTGGTGCCTTCTTTGATGGGCATTTTAGAAGTTGAGTTGAAACATCGCCTCCACAGAATAAAAGAAGTTGTATATCCATAATAATTGTCATTATTCTTCATCTTTGGTGCCAGCAGGGCATGGAATAAATACTAAACATATTGTTCAGCCACTTGGCAACATAGAGGTGGTCGACCTTGTTCCAGCACTCAGTGTGCAGATTGGTTGATCCTAACTTCAGCAATGTCACACCACTTACAAATGCCCTGTGCAATGCCAGTGGCATAAGTATTTCCTCTGTTGGAGAGGGTAATCCTTGCAAGGCCATGACCCGACATCACAGCTACGCACTTTTGATGATTACTTCAATTGGACAGACTAGGAATCGAGATACTGTCTAGACTTCACAGATCCTTGCACTGGAGATTTCAGGATTCCTTCACAACCGAACATGACCACTAGGGAGGGGCCTGAGTCATGATTTGGTGCGGGACCAGTAGAGCTCAAAAAGCAAAATCCTATGAGAGAGCATGATGACAAGGTTGACACTCTGGATGCATTTGCAAGAACGGATGCTTGTGCAGTTGGAGGGGCTTCATCCTCATGGAACAGGAAATCAATGTCAGCATCAGGGAGTCTCTTACACAGTCACGAGGCCTCAACCCTAGCACGGCACATATGGAACACGAGCTGCAGTCTCGGCAACAATCTTCCCTTAGCAACCATTCAGACAAGAGATGTGGTATCAGGCTGTGATCGCTCCAGGTGGATGACATATACTCAGAGTTATCTTCTCTATCTATATATTATTTATCTATATATTGGGGGTGAGGGTGGGGTGTTCGTGTTCATTAAGGTTTTGGTCAAATAATATCTTTTTGACAGGTGATCTGACTGAGTATTAGTGTTGGGAACTGGTTAAAATCTCATAATTGATGATTGGTTCATTACAACCGATCAATCATCGAAAATAATTGGTTAGCGTCATTTATGAAATTTGTTCATGCACAAACAAATAAGGAAAAAAACATGTAGTTCTTTGGGGGGTTTTTG